GGCGGTCGATCTTGGGTAGCGGGAAGCAATCTTTCAGGCAGGCTATGTTCAGATTGGTGTAATCGATGCACATGCGCCACTTGCCATTGACTTTTTTCACCAGAACCAGGTTAGCCATTTAGCTCGGGTAATGGACTTCCCTGATGAATTCTGCCGCGAGGAGCTTCCCAACCTCTTCATCAACTACCCTCCAACATTTCGGGGCGAGGTTGCGTTTCCTTTGTCTTACTGGCCTGACTAGGGGGTCGGTATTAAGTTTGTGAGTAATAATTTTTGGATCAATTCTGGGCATTTCTATCGCGGACCAAGCAAAAATGTCTAAATTTTGAAGTAAGAAACTTATTAGATGAGTTCAAAGTGGTTCGCTGATCGAGGCTCCGATCTGGAGAATCTTGGCCGGTTCAGCGGTAAAGACTGGTATGTGGACCGTCTCCTCTTTCGGGGCAGCTCGCTTGTTGGTATACTCCACTAGTCGCTCGAGCTCGACATCCTCTTCAAGCTTTGCTTTTCCTTTTAGGGCAGCCACGTAACACTTGCGTGATTTGAGTCGGTCACCTCGCACGATTCCCACTCCGTAATCAGTTGGGAACTTCATCCCAAATAGTAAGTGGATACTATTGCACGTAGAACATGCATGATGGGACGACCTACTATGGCATTGTAAGGGGAGGGAGTCACGACTACTAGGAACGTGTGCTCAAATCGCATGATGTTTGGCTACGTGTTGGCTTCCACGGGTACTGTGATTCGACCAAGAGGTCTAACCTCTTGCCGTTGAACCCTACCAAAGGAGTATTTGCCGGTTTTAGGTCGCTTTGCTATAGCTGTAATTTGTCGAAGGTCTCCTTGAAGAGTATATCTGCCGAGCTGCCTAAATCTACCAAGATGTGCTTTACTTCGAAATCATTAATTCTTAGCTTCACCACTAAGGCATCATCGTGGGGGTACTGGATCCCGCGCGCATCGTCCTTAGTGAAGTAGATCGGTTCCTCGAGCCAAGGTCACTTTGGCAGGTTTTCCCCTTCATTCTCTAACTCGCGGATTGAGGTCCTCCCAGTTGTTGATGTACATCCGGCGATGATAGACCCACCGGTGATCATGTTAATTACCCCATGAATCGGTCTTTCCTTTGGCAATTATCATGGTGGTTGCTCTTCTACCTGTTGACCTCGGGGCCATTCCTTCTCTGGTCCCCCTGTCGATCTGCTTATCCCCTCTCTTCTCGCAAGATGTTCTTCAGGTATCCGCGGTGGATAAGTTCATCGATCTCATCACAGAGATTCCTGCAATTCTTCGTACTGTGTCCATGATCTCTGTGGAAATGGCAATAAACATTTGAGTTTCTTGTTGCTAGATCTCCCCTTAGCCTGAGAGGCCATTTGACGAAGGAGGAGTCCTTAATAGCCATTAAGATCTCTCCTCGCTTAGCGTTCAAAGGCGTGTAGCTTGTTTTGTCCACAGGTGGGGTCTTGGAGCGTCGACCTAACTTGCAAGTTCGCGAGGGGGACTAGCTTCTTGACTTGCTTTTTCCCCTACTTGGGGACTTGCTTTTCTTCCTTTTCTGCCCACCATTGCTCGTTCCTTCATTCTCTATCTTCCTCTTTTCTGGCGGTGGGATGTCGGTCTTTTGATTGATCTCCTCCTCGGTACCAATGAATTGATCTGCTAACTTGAGGAATTCGGTGATGTCCTTTAGTTTGTTAGCTACCACATGCCACTTAAACTCCCTATGGGTGATTCCTTTCTTTGCTGCAGTGAGTCGTACCGCCGGGTCGAGGTCCGGTATCTGCAAGCAAGTATCGTTGAAGCGCTTAATATAGCTTCTGATTGATTCTCCTTCCCTTTGAACCACGTTGAGAAGGCTTTCCTACAATTTCAGACACTTCTTGCTGGTAATGAAGTGCGTAGTAAACAGATCGGTGAACTGGGATCAGCTTTTGATGGAGCCCGGCACGAGGTTCTGATACCAAGTTCGAACTACCCCCTTAAACGTAGTGGAGAAGGCCACACACATGCATGACTTATCAGCCCCAGCTAGGTGCATCTGAGACTGGAAAGAGTCCACATGGTCGTTGGGGTCAAACGACCCGTCATACTTGTCTAACGGGAGCATCTTAAAATCTTTTGGCATTGGAGTTGCCAAGAGCTCAGGAGACAAAGGTGATGACTGGCAAAGTAGTGGAGGCGCAGTCTTTGTAGCCACCGAGCTCACTTCCTCCTTTCCTTTGGCTTTCTCTTCTTGCTGGCCTACCTTCGTCGACGGGTTGTTCCTCGACGAGGGGTGGCGTGTTTTGCGACGTTGCCACTGCTGCTTCTTCATTGGCTCGGCATTGGTACTGTTCACTTAGGTCTGGTTTGGTACTTCGGCGTTGTCGCAAGGTAGATCTTGGTCCTTCTCGTTGGATTCTCTTGGTTGTGGGGCTCGAACTGGCTATCTCGAGGGACAGAGAGGTCTTGTCTCGAGTTCGCACCTCGAACTCTGAACCGGTTATTATTTGCTCACATGCTATCATTTTCTTGCTGGGAGTACCGAGGCGGATTGGGATGACTATCCCCGAACCTATTTCTGAGATTTCCTTGCGAGACTGGAGGAGTGCGCTGACCATCTCTCCTCCCACAGGGCGAAACCTGACTCCTGAGAGGAATCGGTACTTGCGAGGTCTCTTCACCCCGATGGGGAGATCGGCTGATGTTCTAGTTGACCCCAGGCCGATTCGAGTTCTGGCCTTGATGGGGCCCTGGGTGCCAGGGTGGAACCGACTGCTGGTTCGGCTGTAGTGGAGGGAACTGGTGTTGATACTGCTGGTACAAATAGTACTACTTGTACTGTTGGAACTGTTGGACCTGCTACATCTGGATCTGAATTGCCCGGACGCACTGAACGTGGTCATGAAACTGGGAATGCTCGATTCCGGGGGGAACCACAGATGGCTCAGAGAAAGTCGTGCCTACCACTAGGGGAAGTGGGACGCTCATTTGTGTGGTGCTCTATGGTGCGGACAGTGACGGGACACCGGACAATGTGAGCGGAATAGTGAATGGCCGATGCATACCGTAGGACCTTGGGGGAAGGTTGATTGCTGAGCTTGCCCCCCGGTGACGTTCATCTCGATACTTTTTTCGGTGTGGCTGGAAGATGCCATTGAGGTTGAGATTGAGTTTGAAACTATAAAGAGATAGGGATGACCTTTCGATCGCTTCTCATAGATAGCGCCAATTGATGGTGTGTGATCTAGCTACTCCTAGTTGGATGGCGATTCGAAATCCAATTGGGTGGCGAGCTGGATCAATCTGCAAAACAGTAGATCAGAGAACCCGGGTAGCTAACCCGGCGAGGTCGCTCCGATGCTTAAGTCAGTACTTATGCTGTGAATGCGAGCTTAATGCTTGAGAGCTTGAATGCTAGTGAGTAGAGTTATCACGCGTACCTTTGCCTTGAGGTTTCATGTCTTTATATACTAGAGTAGTCGTGGGCCTTACGAAAAAGCTTCGAGATCTCCGAGCTGTGGAGATAAAGTTTGTTCCATTTTTTAAGGAGAGTAATATGTTGATAAGGTTTATTGTTTACCCCCGATTCAGGCAGAGTCGGGACGAGTTCCCATCATGGTCTCGAGAAATTCGGGATCTGTTGGGGAAGCCTTTGGAGTCGGTTATGTGGCGTTTCGGCTCATTAGCTCCGAGCTTGAACTTCGATTCTTTAGTCCCGAACTGGATTGGGTGTCAAGGTGCCTCTACACTTAGGTGGTTTTTTTGGGCCGAGGTGGTTGAATACCCAAGCTCCGAAGGTCTCGAACTGGGTTCGCTTGGCTGAGTTGTCACCCCTCGATCAGATCGCGCCTACGTGTCCCCTTCTTGCTAGGTCGTGCCAAATCACCCTTCATCAAGTGATATATCAGCGTCATGTTGAAAAAAACGGTGCTTCAGAAAATGTCAATATGTTTGGAACCATTTTTTCATAATCGAGAAGGCGTGGTTTGGAGCAATGTTGAATTTGACGTTTTCTCAAATTGGAGCTCGTTGCTGCCAATGAGGACATGATGTGGCATGACGTGGACTTCCTATAATAGATACCAATGCAGCAATGCCGAAAACAGATATGGAGAACTGGTATCAAATAGAAGGTGTTGTTGTTGCTCCAGGAAATGTCCTACTTGGCAGGCTGGCAGCAACATTTCCAAACAAAAGAGACACCATTTTCTCAGAAAACGGTGCTTCCAACCCACACATTAGCAGCACTGTCGGACTTGTTATTGATGATTTTTTATAGTATATTAGTTGGATTCCGTGCGATAGAGGGGAAAATAATATAAGAAAAAAATATTAATAGAAAATCAAAAGCAAGAATTATTATTAAAAAGAATTTTGTTAATTATCATTCCATTCAAAAAATGTTGTTTCTCATCTTACTGTTCCTCTTTTATTATTATTTAATTGATTTCCTTTTTTATTTTGATTTTTTGTTTTCAGAATTCTTGGATATGGTATTTTGGTTTTTTAGATCAACTGTGATGCCTAATTTTTTGGAATCAAAACAAAGAAAACAATTATTGTTGTAGAAGATCTACTTTGTGAATCACTGTAAGTATTTACATAAATTTTGAATTTGTAGATAACATTAGCATCTCGTATCAAAACAACTCTGGCCACTATTTTTTTTTTATATTTTTTGTCTTTTTTTCTAATTTCTACTTCATGAATTCTGCATCCAATTATGATGGATTTTTCATTCGATAAATGATTCTTCAGTAATAAGGAAATTAACTTGCAGCAAGTCGTTGATTATTTAGGAAGATTTACCGGCCATTTCTACAACTAATGAAATTAAGAATTAGGATATATAGTTTACTCTCAACTGACAACTAGGCTTAACTATTTTTTGTTATTCTCTATTACTTGTCTTCGAGCTTATGCAGAAATTAGCCCTTTATGTTGTACGAGAAAAAAAAATGAAGCATATAAGGACCATGACTTCTGTCACAATGATAATAATTAACAAAAGAGAAAAAAATATATATACACCTTTAATTAAACTATAAAGTAATTGGTTTCAGAATCTTAGAGATAAGACAATTGTATAGGGTATTCCTCAATTCATTCCCAAAAGAGACACATTCTCTCTCTGACAAATTATTTAATTAACTTGTACAAATTTCGTTTATTTAAGCAATAAAATCAGATCCATGTAATACACGACCAGTCTTGATGCATAGTAGGCAAAACATGGCCGTGCCCATGGGTCTCTTGGTCATGGGAAAGCAGTAGTTATCCATGCCCGGGTGATCTTCGTGGATTTACAATGGGAGAAGGAGGAGATGGGAGATCTCGCCGTCCAACATATGTAGACGCTGCAAAAGTAGTCATCACCAAAAAAAGACGATAAAATAGAAATTAATGAATTGGAAAGTAAAATAAGGGGAAAATTCTCCATTAGTACCTTGTACTTTGTGTTTAGTGCCATTTTGGTTTTGGAACTTTAAAATATGATAATTCAGTACCCAAATTTTTAAAATGTGACAATCTAGTACTTGACATTAATCAGTAATTAACCTGCCGTTAAGTGACATTTGAAAAGGACACAAACGCCCTTTGAGTGTCATTTAATTTTCTTTATCAACCATCTAAATGTTGACAAAAAATTAACAGTCCCAAATTCTTGCTTCTTCCATTCGAGAAAGCTGGGGTTACGTTTGAATTGGCATTCTGGTGACCCCAACTATATTGAATAGAAGAGGCAAGGATTTGGGATTATTAATTTTTTTTTTTTTGTCAATATTTGGATAGCTGATAAAGAAAATTAAATGACACTCGAAGGGAATTTATGCATTTTTAAAATGTCACTTAACGGTTGATTAACAGCTAGTTAATGGCAGGTACTGGATTGTCACATTTTGAAAGATTGGATACGGAATTGTTGCATTTTAAAGTTCAGGGACCAAAGTGACACTAAACTCAAAGTAGAAAGTACTAATTGGGAATTTTCCCTAAAGCAAGCTAAGACTGGTTCTTTTCTTTTCTTTTACACTTCTTATGTTCTGGTTGTCGAGCTCACATCTGCTGCAACCATCGTTGCATTGCAACCTCGAATGAAATACAAATACAATAGTCTTTGAAAAAAATAACTCAGTTGATGTGATGTTCTAGTTTTTCTTTCAAATGCATATATATGTGTTCTCATTTCATTAAGGGTTGCATGCGAGACGGTCACAGCAGTCTTTTTTTTTTCCTCTTGTTTATCACCATCATTTGTATGACTCAATTTGATTGTAGTTTCAATGTATTAGGGTCCATTTGGTTCACAGCTGGAATCGGAATGGTCTATTCTCATAGTCTATTTGGTTCAGACAGAAATGAGAATGGGAATTAGAATCAGCTGAAATGAGATTTCATTCTCAAAGAAGAGGGAGGGAATGGCCATTTCCTCAAATGGAGGAATGTCATTCCACCAGGAATGAGAATAGGGTTTTGATTTCATCCAACCAAACAGTACCCATTCCAATTCCAATTTCAGACCCCTATTCCTGCTAGCCAAACAGTCTCTAAATTTTTATGAATCTTTTATGTTAAAAAGGACTAAATACTAGATAGGCTTCAAAATCATGTATCTATGTAATGTAAGTTGAGAGTATTTTGGTAAATATCTAGCCAATATGAGATTGCATCAATCATAAGTTTGTAACACATCTGTATGTTTGCTTGTGGCCTCCTATCTTTTTACCATGTAATCTGCTACGTGCCTTTGTTATATGTCAAATTAAACTGACAACAATGCCAATATTTTAGTCCTTATTTTATTTGTCTCTTAAACTCTCCATGGGCTGCAAGCATATTAGATTGGATATAATACCAAGATATAAATTCGATTTATTGATATTGGGATTCAAATTGAATTTTATCCATCACATTTAGATGAAATCCTGATTAAATTAATTATACTAAAAGCAATCAAAATATTCACTTCTATTAGTAAACTGAATTAATAATAACTTTAAGACCCCATAATTCAATAATGGATATAACATTAAGCAAAACAGGATTTATGTAGCTGATCCTATATAGTTGGGAATAAGGCTTGGACGATAATGACTGTTATGAACTAAAAATGATTTTGATAATGTATATTGTCAATATACACAATAAAATTAAAATAACTCCCATGGGAATTTAGAGCTATTACACTTAAAATTAGTCAAAAATTACTAGGGAAAAAGCCTTGGGAAGTTAAGAGATTGAAGTTATTAGAGTAATGGTTACCTAGAACAACTCTTGCGTCTGAAAGAGTAAGAAACCAGGAATTCATCGATAAGATGAGAAAGGCTAAAAACCAAACACACATAGCAGCACTACTGATGAACTTCCTCATTGTTGATTGCTCTTCTGGCTTTCCCCTATATCAGGTTGCTTATTATACAAGACTTATCAATACCAAGCTGTATGCATATGGAGAGGTTGATAGATATTATATCCTATGAGAGTTATAATTTTATGTCTCCCGATTTCCACGGTTGAAGTCTAACCACACAAAATATACTATTGCGCGACCAGGACAGCCACATCTATCACATACCTGTGTCCATCTTGATGCCTTCTTTTGACCGGCATCTGGTGTTTTTCTTTCGGAACTTAAAAGGCCCTGTTTGGTTCATGGGAATAAGGGTCTGGAATCGGAATTAGAATGGACTATTCGATTCAACTGTTTGATTGGATGGAATTGAAATCCCATTCCCATTTCTTCTGGAATGGCATTCCCCCATTTGAGGGAATGGCCATTCTCTGCCCCTCCTTTGGGAATGAAATCCCATTCCCCATTTTCATTTTTCTCTGAATCAAACAAACCATGGGAATAGACCATTCCGATTCCAATTCCAACTACGAACCAAACGGACCCTTACCTCGTTTGTAGGATGTTCGAAAAGTTGCATACAAAAGCGTGTTGTCCATTAGCATCTCCAGGCTTCAGCAAAGCCAATGCCTCAACCTCTGAATAAATTGATGGAAGAGGATGCAGTTCATCAGCATTGAAATTTGAAAACAACTTTTGCGATTCTAACAAACCCAAAAACAAGAAAATGATTGACAGGCAGAGAAGATAAGAAGAAAATGTAAAACAAAGCAACACAAAACAAACAAGAGATTAATGCAGTTGAGCTTATAGCCTATGTCCACGAGCATCAGATGAAAAGAAATCCACTACCAAATAGTAGAAATTACAGGTAATGTTTATAGGCTTCTCACCAAAACCCTAGCTTCCAATACACCCCAAGTTCCTCTCCCTGTATCTCACACACACTCCTCTCTATTTATATGAGAAACCCAAAATCAGGTTAATCCCACAAAACTGTGAATCGAATGCCCCTGTCGTGAGCCCAGAGTCGTAATTCTGAGAACTATGAATCTATCCAGTGATTCTAAGCTACGAGCTGCAATACCCAAATGACTGCGAATATAACATTTTACCTTCTGGATTTTTCTCAACTTTGTCCAGATCATAAAACAGATTTGCAACTGGAACTCAAAGCACCAACGCACAAGATGATATCATAGAAATTAGGCTCTCCTTTCACGATCACAAGGTTTATAATTCACAATGGGACTCAAACAATTTGCCAAATGTTACAGATTTCATGATAAATCCATGCTTGCATCTCAAAACATCAAGTTCAAGTGCTTTGAATGTAGCTGCCTAAACGTTCTCAACAATTAGGCATCAAGTTTCCACATCCATAATGCCTGCAAAGTACCCTATTGACTATGGCGATATAATTTGGTTTATGCTGCATGGACGTTGCTTATCTGATCCATTTTAGCGATGATATTACTTCCTTATACTTCTGTTTCCAACAGTTGGGGAGGGTTCCTTGCTAAAGAATTGCAACCCCTGTTCATTCGGTTTGGGCATTCTTCCCAAGTGGAGTTCTCACAGGTAGGTACTGAATGTTTCGATTTCCATCAAAACTCCATTCCGTCTACCTTTCATTTTTTTTTTTTTTTGATAAACAGGAAGGTTATATTATAAGATAGGAGAAGAATAAATAGCAGACCATCAAGAGACCAGCCAGGGTCACACTGAGTCATGGCTCACAAGTTCTACCCACGAAGAGCAGTTAAACACAAAAGCATTCAGATTCAGTTAACCCTTTCTTGGCTAAAAGGGCATGAGCCACTGAATTTACTTTTCTATTTACAAAACAAAAAATGTAATGTTTTTATACTTTAAGCCTCCAAGATGTCATGGCTCACAAGGAGACCACCCAGGGACACAGAGCCATGGTTCCAAGAAGGTCTACCCACCAAGGGCAGCTAAACACAAAAGGATCCAGACTCAGTTAACCCTTTCTTGGCTAAAGGCATGAGCCACTGAATTTACATTTCTATTTACAAAACAAAAAGGTAATGTTTTTATACTTTAGCCGCCAAGATGTCCTGGCACACAAAAAAAAAAAAGCATCCCTCACCATTTGAGAGTTTCCCCTTTCCAATGCTTGAATTAGGTTCAGGCAGCCACTTTCTACCACAAAATTATCAGCATGAAGCTTGTTAGTCATCTTGATGCCCTTTTATGTTGTCTTCGAGCATCTGCAGAAATTATCCCTTCATGTTGGACTGGAAAAAATGAAGGATACAAGGACCATGACTTTTGTCACAATGATAATTAACAAAAGAGGGAAAAAATATAGATCCTTAATTATCCTATAAAGTAATTGGTTTCAGAACATTCAATAATTATGGTCCCCACTACCAATCTCACCTACATCTTCATTCCCACCCCAAAGATTTAAAAAAAAACACCCACCTTCATTTATACTTCCTGCATGGTCTCTCAACCAAACAAGGCGAGTACATTTTAGGCAATTATTTCTTCTGAAGCAGATCCATTCTGGGGTCATTTGATAATGGCTGATTTGCTTATCGGCTTATCCTTTATTGAATAAGCAATTAAGGATACAGACTCCTTGATTGCCGAATGGCATGTCTACATTACTACCTTACTCTTAAACATTTCACTCTATGACTATTTTATGCACTAAAAGACAAATTGATAAACAATTCAGTTCATAGCATCTATAAGTATAATGGACTAAGAGAGTTGTTGAAGCAACTTCTCTTGGTTGTTACATGTTGTGTTCTGTCAAGGAAAGATTAGTTGTTTAACTCTCTCTCTCTCTCTAGGAATTCATTAAGCACCCAAAACGAAACAAATATCCAGAAAACAAGGGGCCCACTTACCTTTGACCAGATACTATTATAGGAGATAAAACTAGGCAGCAGCTGGGTGCAATCTGATTTAATGGTGATACATTTAAAGCCCAACTTCCTGCAAAAAGCAACACCTTCTTTCACAGTTCAAGCTTCTGAAAATAAAGGAGAAACACTAGGATAAGAACCATATTTAGCAACACAACAAAGCTCCCTCCCAGTTTCTAACACAACCACATTTATCTGCTCAACTCATTTACTACATATTTTATTTGAATATTCATACAGAAGTGATATAGAGAAATAGGCATTTCCTTATTTGGCATACAAAAAGAAAAGTACACATTATTTACATAGCATCTACATCAAGATAACTGTACAAAAAGATCAGAAATTTATTAGTAGTTACATTGAAAAGATGCCCAAATTCACACTCAAAACATCCCACCAAAAACAAAAATTTTCCTGGTGAGCCTACAAAAGTGAACCTAATCCAAAAATCTAAACCCCTGAAAGTAAATATCCCTCTTGATCTCTATCTGATTAAAATAATCTTCCACTTATCCTTATGGAAACCGGTTATGAATTACAAATAGTGAAAAATATCAAACCAAACAAACTGTCCCTGAGCTTAGACTTTCTCTTATCTTGATCTTGAACAAAAAAACAGGTAGAATTCCTTCTTTCGTTACTGAGTTATCCCTGTTTCCAAGAAGTTTGAAAACATGACCAATTATTCAGTTTCCCATACAAAAGTTTTCCACCACCAAAAGAATAAAGTAAAGGCCCAGTTAAACCTTTCCTATAGCTCACACATAAAACATTAATAATATAACAATTACCTTCATCTTTCCCTTTAGCCTTCTTTATGTTTTTCCATTTATCCTTCAGATCAACTGGGGTGCGAGTTCCATCAAATACATTAGCACCAAATTCCAAAATCTTCCTCCAGGGGATATTTTTGTTCACTGTAGTTGAGAACATCTGCACTCCTTTCTACAATAACATTAAGTACAACATTATAGACATTACAATCTTAAAACCCCAGAAGAATCCTTAAGGAACTCTAACAGATCCAAAGTGAATAACATAGTAGTTAAGCAGCTTGCACAAAAAACTTCAATAACCATTCAGTTAAATAAAGAGCTAAACAAGAGTTTGAGAGAATGATACCTTTAGAGTTTCTTCCTCTTCAGCCTTCCAAGGTAGTTTCTTACGTCTTGAATTAGAAAATGAAGAGCTGGGGCTGTAAATCATAATGATGTTAATGTCAACTAATAAACACCAGTGCTGTCCAGACTCTTCCTATTGCTTTCTGGCTACAAGATTGATAATGAATTACAAAATGGTTGAACTTTTACCATTAACAGTAAAATAGTTATACTAAGATAAATATATACTTAACATATTAGGAACTTACGAATGATTAGCTGCCCTTTGGTATTTTATTGACTTGTTGGAAGCAATAGCCTTTCTATTCTGGTCTTCTGCATTTTCATCCACAAGACTACTTGCTTTCAAAGAAGGTTCTTCTGGTTGATCATAAATCTGTGGTTGGAGTATTGCTTTTTTAATTCTCTGTGCCGAATATCTGTCACTGTCACTTGGTAAAGTCTCAGTGTCTCTGCAGGGCAAGATCCTATTTCTGGACCACACATTGGCTTTTTCACATGGCTGTCTTTCATCCTCTCTTATATGGTCTTCTTCAACCATATTTGGGTCATTATCACCATAGTGTGCAGTAGATTGTTCCTTTTTCAGCTGATCCTCGACATTTCTCTTTGTTTGACAATCAACTTTTTGTTCATGTTCTCCTTTGGATAAAGATGAACTACCTTTATGTTCAATATTTCCCTTTACTTGCATTTGTTCCTCTGCCTCTGTTAGATGATCATTGTCATTGATTACTGCACAAATGGTGCCTTCACAGGGTGAGTTACTATTTTCAGACGTAGCACAAAATTTTACATGTCTCTTTTGTTCAGCCTCTCTTATATATCTATACCCTTCAAATGTATTGGAGTGGTTTCTTTTCCTTTTGGTTGAGCACTTATCAAACGTATCACTGAGAAAAGGAAAGTCCTCTCTGCAAGGTAGATCTTCACCACTCTGTGCGATAGACGTCACTTTCTGCAGATGATCTTCTACAAAATTTCTGAGATTATGGTCCATTTGCTGCATATGTTTTACAGTTGTTGAGGATACATTTCTCTTACCTGCAGTATTGCTTTCAGCTGGCATTTGTTCTTCCACTGTTAGATGTTGGTTGTCTTTGAGCATCTTTGGCTTGTCTTGTTTTCTTTCTGTTAAGACATCATGTGTCTCACCATCAGAGTTTGTGTCTTCTATGGAGACATCAGCCTCATTCTCAACTGTGCCATTTCCATGCATATTTGCTTTGTTTAACAGAGTATTTAGTCTATCTTCCTCTGGAATTATCTCTTCTTCTCTAAAACGTGCATTATTGGCATGACAAGTTATAGAAGTATCCACTTGCTTCCCAATCTCATCTAACCTCACTGACAAATTTGTACCCAAAAATCTACACAGAGCCTTTTTTGCCAAATATACTTTTTTCTTAATTTCATTAAATTCAACAGTTACATGTTTGTACAAACAGAATGGACAGTAAAAGTTGCCTATATTGTCAAAGTTAGCAGGATAGCCCAAACAGTTTTCATGAACCACTACTGGACAGTCATTACTGCTACACATCAACACCTGCCCACCCTCAGCACACTTTAAACAAACCCCTTCTTCTGTTCCATCTGTTGCTCCCACAAAATCTAGAGTTAACAGGTCCTGGGAATTCAAGAGGCAAAGTTTCTGCTTAGTGACATCAACCTTATTACTTAAAGTTGAAATAGGAGTTATACCACGATATCCATCACTGCACCTTGATGTTTCTGGTACAGTATTAGGTTGACCTTCATCCTTGGCTTTATCAACCAGAATACTACAGTTCGGGCTAATGGCATCATTTACTAGAGTATGAAATTGTCTCTTATCATTGGCTTCATCATCAGTGAAGTTGAGCTCACCCACATTATTTGGGACAGTATTATGTTCACTCTCATCATTGATTTCAACAGCCAAAATACCATGGCTGGGCAGCTTATCTGCATTATCAGGTTCAGTTTCATGTTGATGATTGGATTCATCAGCCAACAGATTAACTTTTGGCCTATCTGTATTTTCTGTACTCTTTTTAAGCCTCTTATCTGCTTGGCATTCATTAGACCCCTTTACCCCTTTAATGGAATCATTAACTTCATCACATCCAACTACAGGAATTCTACTATCCTCTTCATTATCTTCAGCCATTTTACTCCTTTCCAACAATGATCCTGCAGTCAGCTGATCTACATTTTTTATGCTCCTTCCAAGCTTCTTAGCTGCTTGACATTGATTAAGCCTCTCTACACCTTCATTTCCTTCATCACATCCATCTACAGGAATTCTAGTATCATCTCCATTATCTTCATCCAATTCACTCCTTTCTGACAATGATATTGCAGTTGGCTGGTTGCCTTCAAGAAGCTGGTAATAAGTCAGAGCAATTATGTTAACACAGTAAACTGGTGAAGGAGAATCATTTGATGAAATAAATAAGCCAAGAGGAACTCATCTACCAGTCCATGCATACAATTAGCCAACTTTGCTTCTTTAAAGAAATCATGCTGGCTAACATTCTGATTTAAAAATTCTAAAGTTGGAGGGGAAAAACAAAATCATGTGCTATGTACGTACTCAAAATAATAGATAAAAACATGCAAAAAATTATTATCCGCAATAGCTATTTTTGACCTTTATGATGACTGCAATTGTTAAACTCATCATTTATTTTTCTGTTAAATCATCAGTCTCATACTTGATGAGTTTTGAACAATTACAGAGCATTTAATAGATAATGAAAAATAAACATTAATATCAAAAGGGGACAAATCCAATTATATGTGAGTTTTAGGAAGAGCTTTCACATATTGAACACAAAATCATATCAAAATCTAAAATGGTCTGTAAATTAATTCTTCCCAACCAATGGAGAAATTCATAAAGTTTGATATTCTAGAAGCCCTTCAGCATAGAGATCCAGCAATTGAACCATGGAGGATCATTCCCACTTCATCCACCACCTTAGCTTCCTCAAAAATTAGTGGATTCCATTCCTTAGGATTGAAGATACTGCAAGTTAGAGGAATATAACTCTAATGGGACCACTAAAGGCCCAGGGGACACCCTCCTCTCAACAATATAACTCCACCTATGCCTACTGCACCCAGGTTTCACATGGAACTTCTGTCAAACATTAGCCACACCTCTGAGCTACCACTGACCTGAGGCAATGGAAGGTTTTGGCCTTGGAGAAGAGTTGAGAACATGTGATACATTCCTGTTAAATCTCCAATTCTGAAGCCAGCAAAATCATCACAAAAAATGGCCCAAGAGTTACATAACATAATGACGCGAGACTCCAAGTCGACAATAGACCTCTTCTTGTTTTAAAAAATTCTGCAATTTCCCTCTTCTCACACACCCCACATCAGAGTATGTGGGATGAAGCTCTAATAGAACTTCCCTCTCTTGCCAAGATTGCCAGTTCTCCATTGTCATAGGAAATCGATGACATGCTGCAGGGTTGCCCAGATAACTCCAACCAAACTAAGGAAGTGACTCTAGACCTGTAACCAAGCAATGGATAAGGAGACAATCCACCGATTCACCATCTTGTAAGCACATCACACAGATGTGAGGGGACAGGAGTTCTTTCCTTCTATGTTTTCTTTGAGAGACATCACAAGTGTTAATCCTATCCCAAACAAGCCTCCCAAATAAAGAAGCAAACTTTGAGGGGGATCTTAGAATTCCAAACTTTCTTAGCTGGGAAAGTGGAGACCTGAGCATCTGGACCAAGGAGTTGAGAGAAAGAGTTAACCAGGAAATGCCCAGAGGGATGGAGAGTCCAAGTCCTAAGATCATGAGCGTTAGTGGATAAGTAGACCTCATTAATGTGGGTGAGTAAGAAGGGTTGCTATAGGAGAGTCTTCCAATCTTGATAGAAGTAGAAGACTAGCAGTATCCGACCATTAGGGGCCATATAAAATAGAAGATGCCATATTATTTGACCTGGCGAGATTTCATACCACTCCCTGACCACCACCTCTTTAATAGCTGCCAGCCCACCAAACAATACAGCCATGGGAAGACTCGATATAGCAACAGACTCAACCAAACCGAGTGTCATTCCAAAGGGAAATACCTGAGCTGGTCACATCTCCTACCCCAACCTTGAAAGCAAGGCACTTTCATAGATTACCAAAACACTAGCAAATTCTCCTCCCAAGTTCAATGAGAGACGCAATGGGTGCCTACCACATGAAATTTATGTCAACCTTAGCCCCGACAATCCATATTTCGATTAAACCACCGTTCCCCAAGGCTTGCCACTTATAGTCCCTAAATAACCTCCAACCCCATTTTTTTTTATTTGCCTGTAAAACCCGAGTTCAATCATTTAACCAACTAGAATTGCAACAGCCATTGCAATTACCAAAAATAACTGCCATACCACCATTCTAGGGTATGCCAAGGTTGTTCGTTTGGTGATAAGAGAATCCGAAACAGATAAAAAGAAATACAAATACAAATAAAGCAAGAAAGGTAGCAGGAAAGGATGATTGCAAGCATTTACTCCTCTCAGGAATCCAAGTTTATGATACAAAACAATCAGCAGGAGCATCATAATATGAAATTTTGAAGAAGAGAAACGGAAAAGAAGTTTACCTTGTTCAGGACTCGGGCAGCCACTGAACATAATTTGGAAGGAATTTTGGAAGCCGTGGCTTTGCATGCTCGGGTTTTGGTTTTCATCCTTTGGACTCACAGGATCTACAAAGACAGAGGCAATCAGAGGAGTGGGGTTATATATACCTTGGCGCTCCCGTCGAAACGATTAACGATTCCTACTTCTGGTGCAGTGGCCAGGCCGAGGCGGGACCAAGTCTCCGCTACAACCAACCAGAGACCTTACGTTGGCATTTTGCCACTAAAAGGTTTCCCCTTTTTTCTGGTCCGGGTTTTTCTGGAGTCTGGGCTAGGGGTGCAAGTCGGGCGGGTTGGGCTTAAAGCCCAAGCCTGGACCGAGCCCAAGGTCAAGCCTAATCTTTTCAAGTCGAGCCCAGCTCGGATTGGTCATTGAATATATTCTAAATTATACGTATATGTATTTATGCAAATATATATATATAAATAAATATATATGCAAAATATGTATGTAAATAAGTAAATATGTATACAAATGTGTGTATATATATATATAAGGTTTTAAAAACCGATCTGGAAACGGAACCGTTCTAGCTACCGGCTGAGCCCAATATGTATGAATGTGTATAGTTGAGCTAGGCTCGAGCAGGGTTTGGGCTACCTAAGGGCTAGGCCCGAGCCTGGCCCAAAAAAAAAGTCTGACTTCTTGGGCCTGAGTCCAGCCCGAGGACCGAAAGTCTAAGCCCAACCCATGTAAAATTTTGGGTTGGGCTTGCCCAAGTTGCACCCCTACTCTAGGCATAGCCTAGTGGCTTATTGGGTTATATTATATATAATATTTTATATTAATGATATAAAATATGCATATAAATTTATTTTATAAATTATATAATATAATATATAATGTATTTTTTTTTGTAAACAAGGAATTCATTAAAAAACAAAAGCTAAATAGAAATACAAATAGAGTCAATTTTGCCCATTAACTATAAGAGTATGGCATCTACAAAGCAACTAGACTCAAATTTCCTTCTCTAAGTCAGAGAATTACCTTCCCTTTTTACAAAAGAAAAAACCACATTCAAGTTCTTTGAAAAGTTTAAGATGTCTTTGCACAAAAAGAAAGCTTCTTTTGTTGATGAAGGGTCCATGTTCTTCAGAGCATTCGTGATTGTCAGATTGTCACTTTCCAACACAAAAGGGCAATGGAAATTTTGTTTTCCTAGTTGGAGCCCTTTGAGACAAGCAACTGCTTCCGCTTGAAGGGAAAAAGAGCTAGCACATGATCCAAAATGAACAGCCAAAATTAACCCATGATTGTCTCTAATCACCACTCCAAATGCTGCCTTTCCTGTACATCAAAACTTGCATTAACATTTATCTTTACAGCATCTCCTTGGGAGGTTTCCAAAAAACATTCTAACTTTCTTCTTTAAGAGATTGTGAAGAATTTTGCCATTTTTTCAGTAAAGTCATTTTCCTCTACTTCGAACACCTATTCAATATTAGTAGATTTGTAGTTGAAGACTCGAAGCTAGACTCGATCTGAGCCTTCCATTTGGAATCCTCTCCACCACAACTTTGAACCTGGGGCATTCCACGACCAGACATTTCTCCCAACCTCTAGAACCATCTTGAAATCCAAGATTTGACAAGTTAGGCGTGTCCTTGTTGATTCGGGCAGCTCAGTAGACATCCTCTTCAAAGCGGCCTTCGACCAACTCCAGCTTCAAGAGGGCGACCAAGCCCAAGAACACTCCCCTGGTAAGCTTCAGCGGAGAGGAAGTTTGGCCCTTGGGAAGGGTAACAGTACTTGTGGAAGTCGGCACTTGGCCTAGCATAGTGAGGCTCAACCATGATTTCCTAGTGGTCGCAGCCCCCTCCCCATATAACGCCATAGTAGGTCGGCCGATTACCCATGCCTTACGGGCCGTGGTGTCCACCTACTATTTGGCCATGAAGTTCCCCACGGACTTCGGCATCGGGGTAGTGCGAGGTGACCAACTTGAGTCTCGCAAATGCTACGTCGCCACCCTTGAGGGAAAAACCAAGGTGGCCAATGACCTCAAGTTGGAGCAACCAACGGAGCAAAGCGAGGAGCGAGCTGCGCCCACAGAAGATACCGTCTCCATCCTGGCCTCGGCGGAAGACCCAGCTCGGACTCTTCAAATCGGTGCTTCAATTAAGAAGCCCCTGCAATCTAAACTTGTACGCTTTTTACTTGAAAATTTAGATGTTTTTTATGGTCTGCGGTAGAAATGCTCGGCATAGACCCTAGCATCATAACTCATAAACTTAATACTGATCCTGTAGTTAGGCCCGTTAGACAAAAGAAACGCAACCTAGCCCCAGAGCGATGGAGGGCAGCCAATGAGGAGGTCGGGAAGCTCTTTGCAACCGATTTTATCAGGGAAGTCCATTACCCGAGCTGGGTGGCCAACCCTGTCCTGGTGAAAAAGGCTAACGGTAAATGGCGCATGTGCGTCGACTACACCGACCGGAACCGAGCTTACCCAAAGGACTGTTTTCCACTCCCCATAATCGATCGTCTGGTGGACGCAACCTCAGGGCACGAGTTGCTGAGTTTCTAGATGCCTACTCGGGCTACAATCAGATCAGGATGGACCCGACAGACGAAGAACAAACTACCTTTATAACCGAGTTCGGCCTGTACTGCTACAAGGTCATGCCCTTTGGGCTAAAAAATGTCGGGGTGACCTTTCAAAGACTTGTGAACAAACTGTTTGAGCCATTGATTGGCCAAAAGATAGAATGTTATATAGACGACATGGTCGTCAAAACCCAGCTCTCATGCAATTTAATACAAGACTTGAATTTAGTTTTTGAAATCCTGCGTAGATTCAATATGAAGCTAAATCCGAATAAGTGTGTCTTTGGTGTCACCTCGGGTAAATTTCTAGGATACATCGTAAACCGACACGGCATTGAAGCCAACCAGACAAAATAAAGGCCATCTTAGATATGAGACCACCCCAAAAAATGAAGGAGGTTTAGAGGCTGAATGGCCGCATAGCCGCCCTGAGCCGCTTCATGTCCAAGTCGGCAGATCGCTGCCTATCTTTCTTTAAAGCAATTAAAAGCAAAGGGTTTGAATGGACCCAAGATTGTCAGCTCGCGTTTGACAAGCTCAAAAAGTATCTCGCTAGTATACCGGTCTTAACCCGGCCTGAGGAGGGCGAGGTTTTAGAGTTGTACCTCTCGGCAAGTGATGAAGTGGTCAGCGCGGTACTAATAAAAGAAGTAGATCGGGTCCAATGACCTATCTACTATGTTAGTAAAGTGTAGTAGGGAGCAGAAACGAGATATCCAGAGATAGAAAAACTGGCGTATGCAGCCCGAAAGCTCCGCCCGTACTTTCAGGCTCATACCATTGTCGTCCTCACCAACAAGCCTCTGAGGCAAGTCTTACTTAAGCCCGAGGTCTCTGGTCGACTGACGAAATGGTCCGTTGAGCTCAGCGAGTACGACCTCCAATATAAGCTGCGAAATGCTATTAAGGTCCAATCCTTAGTAGATTTTTTTGTGGAGTGTACTTTCAGCTCCGAAGTTCCCAGACCGGTTGAGCATGAAGCCCCCAGCTCGGGCGAGCCCGGAGCTCCAAGGCCGGTTGAGTCCGAACACCGTGAGGTATCAGCCAGTGCAGCATCTCTTCTAGTTAGGCCAAGAGAGAACTGGGATGAGGAGCCCTAGATCCTTCACGTAGATGGCTCCTCGAACTAGCAGGGCAGCGGAGCCGGAATAGTTCTACACAGCCCAAGCGGCACGAAACTGGAGTATGCACTACGCTTTGAGTTCGCAGCATCTAATAATGAAGCAGAGTACGAAGCGTTGATAGTCGGGCTAGCTCTAGCCATAAAAATGAAAGCCAAGCGCATTATCATCTGCAGTGATTCCCAGCTCGTAGTCAATCAGGTAACAGGAGAATACAAAGCTCGCGAATCGACTATGATTGCCTACCTAGCCAAAGTAAGAGAGGCTCTGCCCAACTTCCAGTCACATTTCATTAGGCAAGTCCCGAGGTCCAAGAACGCTGAGGCCGATGCCCTGTCCCGATTAGCCAGCACTAGTGATAACACCATGAGAACCGTGTACATAGAGAACCTGCCTCGGCCTAGCACTCTCGGGGGGGCAGAGGAGGTCGCTCCTGTCATTCAAGCAGAGCCGAGCTGGATTGACCCGCTCGCGAGCTTCCTACTACATGGGACCCTCCCTGCAGATTGTAACGTCGCCAGAAGGGTAGAGCATTAGGTGGCCAAATACGTCATGATAGATGAACGGATGTACCGAAGATCCTACACGCTCCCCTACCTGCGCTGCTTGCGACCCTCCGAAGCCGAGCTCATACTCCGCGACACTCATGAGGGCCTGTGCGGTGGACACTTGGGGGGCAGGGCCCTCTTCCAAAAAGCACTGTGGCAGGGATACTACTGGCCAATAATGAAAGCAGACGTTATTGAGTTCGTCAGAAAGTGTGACAAGTGCCAGAGACATGCCAACATCCACCATCAGCCCCCTGTCGATCTCAAGTATCTCACTAGTCCGTGGCCTTTTGCGCAATGGGGCATCGATATACTTAGACCGTTTCCACTAGCAACAGGCCAGAGGAAATTTCTAGTGGTAGCAGTGGATTATTTCACCAAGTGGGTAAAAGCCGAACCTTGTAACAATCATAGCCTAAAACGTTCAGACCTTCTTTTGGAAGAACATAGTGTGTCGCTTCGGGTTACCTTGGGTATTAATCTCTGATAACAGAAAGAAGTTCGAGGACATCAAATTCCAGAACTAGTGCCAAGACATGGGGATCCGACAGAACTTCACTTCGGTCGCGCACCCTCAAGCAAACGGCCAAGCAGAAGTCACGAACAGAGCTATACTCCGCAGACTGAAGGCACGGTTAGACTGAGCTAAAGGACTATAGGCGGATGAGCTACCTATTGGCTATCGAACCACAGAGAAAACCGCCACAGGAGAGACTCCCTTTAATCTCACCTACAGCACCGAGGCAGTCATCCCAGCCGATATCGAGGTTTCATTGCTACGACTGGAAGCATACGACAACAAGGCAAATGAGGACGAGCTCTGTACCAACCTCGACCTACTCGACGAAGTAAGGGACCTCACATATATCAAGACCGCAACCTACCAGCAAAGAGTAGCTCGGTACTATAACGCCAGGGTCAAGAAGCGGAACCTCCGCGTCGGCGACCTTGTCCTTCGTA